AAAAAATTTATTTATATTTATATATTTATATATATATATATTTTTTTTTAGTTATTTTCTTGATCCTACTCGACCAACGCAGTGGTCTTCCTGTCTAAAATTTTCGCTCAGTAGTACAATTTTACAATGTATAATTAAAATTAAATTTTATATCTTAATATATATTATTATAGCCTATAACGTTGCGCGCTCTAAGTAGCGCTGTCGGTTCACATGATCCTGTTGATGGGCCCAGCTTGTAGGGCTGGGCGTTGCCGGTGCAGGTCCTTGCACAGGCTTTTTCTGCATTACATTGGCCCAGCTTGACGCGCTGGGCGTGGCCGGTGCTGGTCTTCGCACAGGCTTTTTTTCATCCTTCTTATATATTTTGACCGATCGCAGTTGATGGTGCGTGGCCGCTGTTGCTTTTGCTCATTCTTGTTGCTGATGTTGCTGCAGTCGCTGTTGTTGTTGTTCTTGTTGTTGTTGCTGTTGTTGCTGTTGCTGTTGCTGCTTTCGTGGTTGCTGTTGCTCTTGTTGTTGTTGCTGCTGTTGCTGTTGTTGCTGTTGCTGCTTTCGTGGTTGCTGTTGTTCTTGTTGTTGTTTTGTTGCAGGTTTGTTGTTTTTGTTGTCACTGTTGCGCTGCTGTTGCTGCTGTTGTTGCTGTTGTTGTTTTGTTGCAGTTTTGTTGTTTTTGGTGTCACTATTACGCTGCTGTTGCTGCTGTTGTTGTTTTTGTTGCAGTTTTGTTGTTTTTGGTGTCACTATTACGCTGCTGTTGCTGCTGTTGCTGCTGTTGTTGTTTTTGTTGCATTTTGTTGTTTTTGTTGATGGCATGGGTCAGACGCTTGGAGTCGGCTTTTATACCCACAAGGCTGAGGATTTTTTTTTTCAGATCAGCATAACAATTTGGCAGCCACGTAACACTTATTTAAGTCTTAAGTTTTTGACACGAAATATGAAAGTGACGCCAGACAGTAACAACTGTCACGGTCGCCATGTAATAAAATGAACCTCTATTATCTTTGAGTTCTGGACAGCGAATGCTCTCCGTATTTTATTCAAATAAAGTCTTAGCCTAAAGTACATAAAGTTTACATAAAGAATTCTGTCGCTTATAGCAGCGGCAGAATGGGAGTATGTAACATGCTGTATGTGTGTGTATATATGTTTGTATGCATATGCAGAAGGCATATACATTTAGCGTTTAAGCTGCGGCGTGGACAAGAGCGTAACAATGCTTACGTTGCAGATCCCACGCTGCAGGCCAGTCTATACATAAGTGACCGATCATATTACGGCGCTTATGTATAGCTGTTATAATATAAGTAAAGCAACAAAGTGTTGCTATGTTGTGAGCATGATACTCTTACTTATATTTTGGGCATATGTCAACTTCATATATTGTATACACTACAATACTGTGAGCATATGCTTATATGACATACAACATACTACACTAGTCGAGACTACCCGACTACGAGATCCCCTGAACCCTTGGAGCAATAGATATTTCAATACTTTTTCGCGACTTTCAGCTTACCCAAGAAACACGCACACACACACACACACACGCACGTACGCACACACAGGTATACATACACACACACGCATACAGACACACATACACACACACACGCATACAGACACAAACGCATACACACACACACACATACACACACACATACAAAAAAAAAAAAAAACAAGTAAGAACGTTGCAGTCGGGCGTTACCGACTGCGGAATACTCATTCACATCCCATCAACAATTTAGTAGTTAAGTTTCGCTCTAATACTGTAGAATATACAGGTTTTTCCGATTTGCCATGCCCCAACTGGGCGTAGACACCTCATTTTTGGTCAGTTTTTAGAAAGAGATAACGGTACCCTAACTGCAAAGTTTGAATGCTTACCCTCAAAAAATGTGAAAATTACAGGGTATTTTTCGATATGCCACGCCCCTAAAGAGGCGTAAAAATTATTTTTGGGGAATCGATAGAGGAGGCTACCAGTAACTCAACTATCCAAATTTGAAGCTTCTAGCTATTATACTTTAGGAGATATAAACTTTTTGCGGTTTGCCACGCCCCCTGTGGGCGGACATATATCCGATAAAACTTTTTGGTCTTGGGTGATCAGTCCGAGTATATATACAAAATTTGAGGTCTCTGCCATCAATAGTGTCCAAAATATAGGAGAATTTAAAAAATCACTATATCTTCAGGTCCGATTTGCGACGCCCCTAATGGGCGTAGACTTATAATTTATCTTCAGACTTTATAGAATCATACCATTAGCTGACGTGCAAAATTTCAGCATTCTAGGTTTACAACTTTAGGAGATACAGTTTTATCCGATTTGCCACGCCCCCAATGGGCGTAGATATATCCGCCATAGCTCGTGATCTTGGGTGGTCAACGCGGACCTACATACCAAATTTCAGCTTTCTAGCTCTTCAACAAACATGATTTCTGGTATATCGGAAAATGCATTTTCCGATTTGCCACGCCCCTAGTGGGCGGATCGGGAAAATTTTAACACTTTATAAATCGGAGATATACACGAGTATGTGTTCCAAATTTCAAGTCTCTAGCTTCAATAGCGCCGAAATAGATTGCGTTCATACGGACAGACGGACAGACGGACAGACGGACAGACGGACGGACGGACAGACGGACAGACGGACGGACAGCAAGACGGACATTGCACAAAACCAATATACTGATTCACTTTCGTGAATGAGTATAAAAACGCATAAACACGCATGGGCTGCAGTGCGCGCTTACTATGAGAACTTAATTGTTTGATAACTTTTTTTATGGACTTACGATCTTCATGAAACTTTTATATTATGATTATAACATGAATATGCATGTAATTGCCAAAGCACAAGTCTCTAGTATTTGAAATACGCTTTTTACAAAAGTGAGGGTGAGGGGGTGAATTTAGAGGTGGGGGGTAAATTTTAACAAAAACCGAAATTGTATAAATTGCATATAAGCATACATTAAAAATTTGGAGACTCTAGCAATAAAGGTGTAGAAGATATAATTTTATAACTGGGTTTCGATAAGGTTTTTTATCGATAAAAAAAGATCGAGATGAGTTATCGATTTTTATACCCTGAACCCATTTTCAATGGGAAATCAGGGTATAATGGTTTTGTTGAAATGTATGTAACAGGGAGAAGGAGGCGTGGCAGACCTCACAAAGTATATATATTCTTGATCAGGGTGACGAGCTGAGTTGATTTGGCCCTGTCCGTCTGTCTGTCCGTCTGTCCGTCTGTCCGTATGTATGAACACGTCGATTTCAGAAGATATAAGAGCTAGAGACTTCAATTTTTTTTTAAATGTCCGTAATTACAGCGCGCATATCAAGTTTATCATTAAAAATCGATAACTCATCTCGATCTTTTTTTTATCGATAAAAAACCTTATCGAAACCCAGTTATAACATTATATCTTCTACACCTTTATTGCTAGAGACTCCAAATTTTTAATGTATGCCTATATGCAATTTATACAATTTCGGTTTTTGTTAAAATTTACCCCCCACCTCTAAATTCTCCCCCTTACCCTCACTTTTGTAAAAAGCGTATTTCAAATACTAGAGACTTGTGCTTTGGCAATTACATGCATATTCATGTTGTTGAGCTATCGAGATTTTTCGAATAGCTTTAAATTATTAAACGATTGAATTTACTTAGTGATTAGTTTATTAGCGATTATTAGAGTTTACAGAGTTTATGTGATAGACGCGAGCAAGCGACTAGTCTGTCGTGCTGTCCGCTACTATGTTTGTAATAGTCAATCTAACACTGCATCTGCTCTAAACAAGAGTTAATTGCATACTAACTACAATGTACGCGAGCCGGCGGATTAAGCTGAGCCGGTGCGTGGGTGAAAGAGACAACGCAAAAGGGAGAGCGTGATCTCCGTTACAAATTCTCTTACATGATAACATATTCTATGAACTGCCGCTCTTAATTACAATGAAGCGATGATTGCTGAGCCCAACATCCTCCCCCGTTGAAGACTTAGTCTTCAACAGAATCCTTAAGGGGCAGCAAGCACAGCTTATTTGTAGCTCTTCTTATCTCGCCAACTTCAGTTTTTAGTAGGGCTACCCGTGCAACGCCATCACTTCCAGGGATAAGTTCGATTATTCTGGCTAGTGGCCACTTAAGTGAAGGTAGATTCTCATCCTTCACAAGAACTATGTTGCCAACAGCCAAGCCAGGTTTAGAGGTTCTCCATTTCGCTCGCTGTTGTAACAAGTTGAGATATTCGTCCCGCCAACGAGTCCAGAACACCTGCTGGAGATAGCTTACGCGCTGCCAAGCATCCAAACGATTAAAATTGAGCCCGGTTAGGTTTGGCTCACTGAAAGACGAAGGAGGGCCACCGTTGAGGAAATGCGCAGGAGTCAACACGTCTATGTCTGATGGGTGCTCTGAAATCGAAACTAAAGGGCGTGAATTAACGACAGCAGCGATGTTGCAAACCAGTGTGCGAAGCTCATCGTAAGTTAGGACGGAGGACCCAACACATCGGTAAAAATGATGCTTCGCTGTCTTCACTGCAGCCTCCCACAAGCCACCAAAGTGAGGTGATCGTGGAGGGATGAAATGCCATTCGATTGAGTCTGCCAAACAGAAATCCTTCACAGCCTTCTGGTGGGTGTCTGACAGAAATAGACGCTTCAACTCCTGAAGCTGATTGCGGGCACCAAGAAAGTTTGTGGCGTTATCCGACCAGATTTGACTTGGCTTTCCTCTGGTGCATATGAAACGTTGAAGTGCATGCAAAAATGCCGCGGTAGTTAAATCCTTGACTAACTCCAACCAAATAGCCTTCGTAGCAAAACAAATAAACACACAAACGTAGCATTTCACAGGCGCCTTGTTTCGTGACTCAGGCTTGTAAAAGAAGGGTCCGCAAAAGTCGACTCCAGTCACTCCAAAGACCCGATAGCCGTCGACTCGATCCTTGGGTAGATCTGCCATTATGTGTTCAACGAGTCGGGGCCTTGCACGAAAGCAAATTACGCATCTCTGAATTACACTGGCTACAGTTTTTCTACCTCCAATTGGCCAATATTGGGAACGAACCAACGCTAGCACTGCTCGGGGACCAGCGTGCAAGTTTCGCTGATGGAAATGCATTATGATGGCTCTAGTTACTGGATGAACTTTGGGCAAAATAATTGGATGGCGACTATCGAAATTTAAAGTTGAGTTTTTGAGACGACCATCGACACGTAGCAGCCCAATCTCATCAAGGAACGGTGACAGCGAGGCTAGACTGCTGGATGACGGAACCATTCCTTTATTTCGAAGAGCATTTATGTCGTCTGAGAGATGTGTTCGTTGAATCATTCTTAACAGTATATGAGTGCCGTTCCGGATGTCTGCTAGGGTTATTCCTGGACCATGACTTTTTTAATAAACTTTGATACGTATGCAAACGTACGCTGCAAGCGGCCGAAAGAATTCACAAACTTGCAGTCCATAGAGACATCATGGACTGCGTCCTTTACAAGAAGCACAGTTCTTCGACGCTCAATTGAAGTTCTTTCTGGAAGTGCTGAGACTGGCCACTGAGATCTGGGCTTACAGAGGAAACCTGGACCGTTGAACCAATGTAATGATGCATTTAAATCCGAGGGCAATGCACCCCGAGATAATATATCCGCGGGATTCAGTGTTGTAGGTATATAGTGCCATTCCATTGCTGATGTGAGATCTTGTATCGTGGCGATGCGATTTGAAACAAAAACGTTAAATCGTCCGGGCTCGTCATTGATCCAAGAAAGCGCAACAGTAGAGTCAGACCAACAATGAAACTCGCCTGCGAAAATGCCTAAGCGAGCCACTTCATTCATTAGACGCGCAAGCAACTCTGCCCCGCATAGTTCCAGCTTGGGAACCGTGAGCGTTTTTAGAGGCGCAACTCGAGACTTAGAGCAAAGCAACCTGCTGATGGTATGCTGACCTCTGGATACAATATAAATGCAAGCTCCGTATGCCTCGATGCTGGCATCGCAGAATCCATGGACCTCAACCTTCGATCCTGGTATTAATGATAGCCTGGGAAATGCACTACTAAGACCATTGCCAAAGTTGCTGCAAATGTCTAGCCATGCAGTGTGACATGCAGACGGGAGACTCTCATCCCAATCAAGTTTATGCCTCCAGAGTTGTTGCAAGAAGATTTTAGCTTTCGTTATTACTGGGCCGACCAGGCCGAGGGGATCATAAAACCTAGCAATAGACGAGAGAACAGAGCGCCTGGAGGGCTTAGAGGCTGAATTCAGAGCTAGATATGAGAAAAGAAGTTGATCAGATGCCGGATCCCATGCAAGGCCAAGTGTCTTTGTAATGTCGCTGCCATCGTTGAACCTAATGAGCGATTCCTTGTCGCAGTCTGTTACGCCGTCCAGTACCATGGGATGGCTTGAACACCACTTCCTCAATTTAAACTTCCCACATGCCAAGATTCCAGCTGTCTCTTGCATAACAAGTCTTGCTTCTTCGACTGAATTTCCTCCACTAATCAAATCATCAACATAGAAATCGCGAAGCAGTACGTCGGACCCGACTGGGAATGCGTTCCTTTCATCTACGGCAAGCTGATGCATGGCGCGCACAGACAAAAATGACGCTGGTTTTGTTCCATATGTTACCGTATCAAGCCTGAAAACTTCCAACTCATCATCTGGCGAATTCCTCCATAAAATGCATTGTAGATAGCTGTCCGGCTCAGGTACTTTCACGCAACGATACATTTTGCAAATATCGCCGGTGAGTGCAACTGGATAAGATCGGAAGCGCAATAATATGTCGACTAATTTTGGCTGAATGACGGGACCTGACATTAGAATGTCATTCAACGAATGCCCAGTTGTTGTAGATGCAGATCCATCAAAGACGACGCGAAGCTTGGTAGTTGTGCTATCATCCTTCAGAACGCAGTGATGAGGAAGAAAATATCTGCATAGATGGAATGAATTTAGAGGAACGCGTGACATGTGACCAAGTTCAAGATACTCTTTCAGAAATGCTGAGTATTGAGACTTTATATGCGGCAAACGACTCAATTTCTTCTCCAAATTGAGAAACCGATGTCGCGCTTGCTCATAAGAATCTCCAAGAAGCTCACAACTAAGCTTAACAGGCAGGCGTACTGTATATTGGCCACTAGCCAATCGATTGTAATGCCTCGCAAAATGCGCTTCGCAGTCTGAGTCTTCCTTGCTGAACTTTACAATGGAATCGCTGCAGCGCTCAACTTCCCAAAAGCGACGAACGAGACTGTCCAACTTGATATCAGCACAGGAGTCTGTAATCGGATCCAAAGGCGTCTTTGAAGCTATTAGCACGGAGTTGTGGTTGCGAGCCTCGCCACCTGATACAACCCAACCAAGACGAGTCTTCTGTAACAATGGAAGTCCAGGCATCAACTTGATTTGTCCCACACAGAGCAAATCATAAAACAGGCTAGCTCCGATAAGCAGATCTACTCGTTGCGGCCTATGGAAAGCTGGATCTGCCAGCACTATATTTTGCGGTATGCTCCAATTGCTCGTATTCACATTAGAACTGGGCTGCCTGCCAGTTATATTTGTAGCTACCATAGCCGTTATGCTAGTTGTATATTCAGATGCATGAGCTTGAAGAGTGAGGCAAATGCTGCTGCCATCCATGGCAACATTGGAGTCGCCTACGCCGCATACAGATGCCACCGATTTTGTTCTCTTAAGTTGCAGGAGATTCGCAAATCTGGCTGTAATGAGATGTAGTTGAGAGCCTGAATCTAAAAGTGCACGACAAGGAACAAGCTCGCCAAACCGATTCCTTGCCAGAACCACTGCGGTAGCCAGGAGCACAACATCGCTGTGCCGATCCTTGGATAAGAGAGTATTGGCTGGTGCTGAGGGCTGAGGGATGGTCTGTACTCTTGATGTTGAAGATTGTTGATGGGGCGGAATTGCTGCCTGCGATGTGCTGGAGTGGCCGAGATGAAGAAGCGTATGATGCTTGACTCCACAGACCCGACAACTGCGCGAGCCACATTGTCGCGACTGATGACCTCCCTTGAGACAATTCAAACATAAGCCAGCCTTTCGGACCTCATTCAGGCGAAGACTAGGAGACAAGTTTGCGAATCTTGGGCATTTGTAGATTGTGTGCTCAAGATCATTACAAAAATTGCAACTGTGAGTACTGTGGCCGGTTACGAGAAATGCTGATCTACTGGTAGCAACCTTACTGCAAGAATTCATCGGCTTACTTGACGAATAGTTTGTAAGAGCAAATTTCATCGATTCCAAAGTGCGGCAACGAAGCTCAAGAAATGAGGAGACTTCTTCATATCTGGGTATCTGAAGAGCCGTCTCTGAGTTGTCCAATTTCTCTTCCCATTTAGCTTGTGAGGCCTCATCAAGCTTCTGTAGCAGTATCTGAGCAATCATGGCACTGGCTATCTGCTCTGTTGTGCCCAGACTACTGAGCGCACGCATATGGACATTGAAGCTGTCAGATAGCTCACGCAGCTTGATTATGGATCCGTTTTCTACTCTTTTGAGACCTAAGATCTTTACGATGTGGGCCTGGAAGATTAAACGTCGGTTATCATATCTCTGCTTTAATAAATTTACGGCAATTGTATAATTATCATTAGAAATTTCCAAAGAGCGAACCGTATCCAACGCTGCGCCATCGAGGCAGGACCGGAGGTGCTGAAGTCTTTCCATATTGCTGATTTCTGGCCGACTTTCAATGATTGTAGAAAACATTGAGTAGAAATCAGCCCAATTAGCATATCCACCGCTGAACGTAGGTAACTTTAATGGCGGCAACGCAGGTGCAGCCTGCAATCTGGGAGCGGATGCGCGAGGAGGGTCACTTGGACGACTAAACGTGGAACTATGATGCACTTGAGCAGTACGACTTTGCACTTCGGACATTATTGTTGACTGCATGACCATTATTAAATCATCAAAGTCAGTGCGCAAATTGCTGGACATCTCAGTAAAGTCGAGCTCCTCTAGACTTTCATGGGCCTTGCTAAAGGAGTGGCTTAGCTTGTCGATATGCTCCAGTAGAACATTTAGAGTGCTGTCACTGTGATCGGCAAGAGCATCTGAATCGACCTTGGATTGTAGCTTTTTTACGCGTTCAAACACCGACTGTACCTTGAGCTTATAAAACCGCACGCGATCTTCGGGAGCAACTGCACTAGCATCTAAATTCGCCATGACGAGTACAGCAAGAGCAACACGATAGAGTTCAAAGTCGTTGGTGCGAGCGCGATTGCAAGAGTAAGTAAATGTATATATAGCGCAGACACAAACTTGGAATAAGTCGTATTTGTCGAGCAGAGTACTTGCAACTTTAATAAACTGGCAAAGAATTATATTATGGTACTCAAATAATATACACGTATGAATTGTTGCACACCGGTACGATTATTATGGACGCGCTCGTATCGCAGCCGTGGTGAAAGAGTGCAATGTCAACGAAGAATAACGGCAAGCATGTAATTACACTGTGCTTATGTAAACTTAATCACTTATAGATTGAAGCTATAGAACACGCAGTCACTAACCATAGACATAGTTCAGAAATTAGTTGATTCTTTATTAGATTGTCAATTGCAGAAGTTTTCGCATGTGTACTACTTTTACGGGCGCCAGTGTATTGCAGACCGAACGAAAGAGTGTCTGGCGAATTGGCAAAGTAACGGCACGCAACTAATCGCTATATACAATGCTTATGTTCACGGGTGTATGTATGTATGTGATGCTGTCAATATATATATGCAAATATGTAAAGAAACGAAAGAGAATCACGACGGGGTCACCAAATGTTGAGCTATCGAGATTTTTCGAATAGCTTTAAATTATTAAACGATTGAATTTACTTAGTGATTAGTTTATTAGCGATTATTAGAGTTTACAGAGTTTATGTGATAGACGCGAGCAAGCGACTAGTCTGTCGTGCTGTCCGCTACTATGTTTGTAATAGTCAATCTAACACTGCATCTGCTCTAAACAAGAGTTAATTGCATACTAACTACAATGTACGCGAGCCGGCGGATTAAGCTGAGCCGGTGCGTGGGTGAAAGAGACAACGCAAAAGGGAGAGCGTGATCTCCGTTACAAATTCTCTTACATGATAACATATTCTATGAACTGCCGCTCTTAATTACAATGAAGCGATGATTGCTGAGCCCAACACATGTTATAATCATAATCTAAAAGTGAAGATCGTACGTCCATAAAAAAAGTTATTAAACAATTAAGTTCTCATAGTAAGCGCACACTGCAGCCCATGCGTGGTTGCTTGTATGTGTATGTGTGTGTGTATGTGTGTGTGTGTATGTATACCTGTGTGTGCGTACGTGCGTGTGTGTGTGTGTGTGTGTGCGTGTTTCTTGTGTAAGCTGAAAGTCGCGAAAAAGTATTGAAATATCTATCGCTCCAAGGGTTCAGGGGATCTCGTAGTCGAGCAGTCTCGACTAGAGCTTTCTTACTTGTTAATGATAAACTTGATATGCGCGCTGTAATTACGGACATTTAAAAAAATTTTGAAGTCTCTAGCTCTTATATCTTCTCAAATCGACGCGTTCATACATACGGACAGACGGACAGGGCCAAATCAACTCAGCTCGTCACCCTGATCAAGAATATATATACTTTGTGGGGTCTGCCACGCCTCCTTCTCCCTGTTACATACATTTCAACAAAACCATTATACCCTGATTTCCCATTGAAAATGGGTTCAGGGTATAACAAGTAAGAAGGCTCCAGTCGAGACTGCTCGACTAGGAGATTCCCCTTAACCTTCTAATCTGATATTCTAATCAGTCTGCGCTTCATTTCGACACACATACATACACACGCACGTATTAGAACGCGCTCTGCTAACTGCGCAGTAAGCAGCGACTGCGCTTGGGCTGCACTGCAGTGTGGGCAATATTATGAGAATTTATTTGTTGAATAATTTCTTTTGTAGACATACGATCCTAATGAAACTTTTAGAGCGTAATCATATGGCTAAAATGTGTGTACATTCCAAAGCACAAGTCTCTAGTACTTGAAATGCGTTTTTTACAAATCTTCTGAGATCCTTTTGCTCATACGGACGGACAGACGGACAGGGCTATATCGACTCAGCTCGTCGTCCTGATCAAGAATATATATACTTTATGGGGTCTGAGATGATACCTTCTGCCTGTTACATACTTTTCACAAAACCATTATACCCTGATTTCCCATTTTCAATGGGTTCATGGTATAATAAAATAAAATGTAAATATAGAAATAATGCTATTATAAATAAAATCTGTATATAATAATTCAAAATAAGATATAATCACAATAAACACCATCCAGCCGAAGGCCCCTGCTGCCAGTGCTTAGCCTTAAGTTAGAGTTAATTATACTCATTCACGAAAGTGAATCATTATACTCATTCACGAAAGTGAATCAGTATATTGGTTTTGTGCAATGTCCGTCCGTCTGTCCGTCTGTCCGTATGAACGCAATCTATTTCGACTTAAAATTTGGAACACATACTCGTGTATATCTCCGATTTATAAAGTGTTAAAATTTTCCCGATCCGCCCACTAGGGGCGTGGCAAATCGGAAAATGCATTTTCCGATATACCAGAAATCATGTTAGTTAAAGAGCTAGAAAGCTGAAATTTGGTATTTAGGTCCGCGTCGACCACCCAAGATCACAAGCTATGGCGGATATATCTCCGCCCATTGGGGGCGTGGCAAATCGGATAAAACTGTATCTCCTAAAGTTGTAAACTTAGAATGCTGAAATTTTGCACGTCAGCTAATGGTATGATTCTATAAAGCCTGAAGATAAATTATAAGTCTACGCCCATTGGGGGCGTGGCAAATCGGACCTGAAGATATAGTGATTTTTCGAATTCTGCTATATTTTGGATACTATTGATGCCAGAGATCTCAAATTTTGTATAGATACTCAGGCTGATCACCTAGGACCAAAAAGCTTTGTCGGATATATGTGCGCCCACAGGAGGCGTGGCAAACCGAAAAAGTTTATATATCCTAAAGTATATATCCTAGAAGCTTCAAATTTTCATAGTTGAGTTACTGGTAGCCTCCTCTATCGATTCATCAAACAAATAATTTTTATGCCTCTTTAGGGGCGTGGCATATCGAAAAATACCTTGTAATTTTCACTTTTTTTAAGGGTAAGCAGTCAATCTTTACAGTTAGGGTAGAGTTATCTCGTTTTAAGAACTGACCAAAAATGAGGTGTCTACGCCCAGTTGGGGCGTGGCAAATTGGAAAAAACTGTATATTCTACAGTATTAGAGCGAAACTTAACTACTAAATTGTTGATGGGATGTGAATGAGTATTCCGCAGTCGGTAACGCCCGACTGCAACGTTCTTACTTATTTTATATTAATATAGGACCGAAAACTGTCACGGTTATCAAGCCTACTGAGTATCAATGGAAATTTGAATCTGTAGGGAAAAAACCTCGTTTTTCAAGTATTCGTCAAATTTTTTCAGTATTTTTAAGATCTACTATCCTACTCGTAGCGGAGACAAATCCAACAAATCAAAAACCATGAAAATTGGTCCAGCAGATCTCGAGTTATAAGTGGAGGAGCACTTTTACACAACTCTCATTTATATATATAGATTATTGAAACATAGTACAAAACAAAAACAAACTAGTAAGAAAGCTATAGTCGAGACTGCTCGACTACGAGATCCCCTGAACCCTTGAAGCAATAGCTATTTCAATCATTTTTCGCGTCTTTCAGCTTACACAAGAAACACGCACACACACGCACACACAGGCACACATACACACGCTCATACACACACAAACGCATACACACTGGCCACGAGTTCACCTTCAGTCGGGCGGGATACGGATCTGTAATTGACATTACTTTTGTCACTTCATCCCTCGTTCGGGAAGCAACATGGAGCCATTGCGATAGCTATATGGGCAGCGATCATACGGCACTTCTATTCACAATAGGTGAGCCACCTGCCAAGGCGTCAACCTTGTGGAGGGAATCGTATCGGCTGTATACTTTTGATCCCGCGGCTTTTTCAGAGGCCATTCGGGACGGGATCCCAAATCGTACGCTAAAGCTAGCCCTCGCCTTGCACCCTAGTACGTTCGCCGAATTATTGAACGAATTCTTACTACAAGAGACGTTCCCTACAAAATGGAAGACCCAGAACCTGGTATTGCTACCCAAGGCTGGCAAACCACCAGACGAGCCATCTTCATACAGACCGATCTGCCTCTTAGACACCATAGGAAAGGCGTTTGAGAAATTGATCTGCTCTAGACGGAGACTGCTATTGCTAGTGCCGGAGGCCAATCACCAAATCAATTTGGATTCCGGAAGGCCCGGTCAACAACGGATGCTCTAGAAAAAGTTGTTGGCCTGGCAACTTCCGCCATCCAAGACACCAGATGGAAGCACGGGACGAAGCAATACTGCATCATCGCGACCCTGGACGTTAAGAACGCCTTCAACACAGCTAGTTGGGATATGATACTGAATGCGCTGTCACAATATAATATCCCTAAATATCTAAAAGACATAATAAACAGCTACTTCAGAGGAAGAACACTGGTATACAACACGAGTGAGGGTCCCCAAACTCATACAGTGTCAGCTGGAGTACCCCAAGGCTCAGTGCTGGGGCCTCTCCTATGGAATATCATGTACGACGGCGTACTGCGCTTGGAAGTACCAGCAGGTGCGCACACCATTGGCTTTGCTGATGATGTGGTTGTCGTCGCCATAGGCAAGGAGCTTAAAGATACAGAGGACATGTGCAGCGAAAGTAATAATCGCATACGAAGCTGGTTGGCAGGAGCGGAGCTCGAGCTTGCGGCGCACAAGATGGAAGTCGTCCTAGTAAGCAGTCGCAAGAAAGTGCAGACTGGCATTATAAAGAAAGGCAGCGTCACCATCGCGTCAAAGAGGGCGATTAAGTATCTTGGCGTCATGTTAGACACAAGATTAACTTTCCGCGAGCACTTAGAATATGTGCATAAAAAGGCAGCTGATTCTTGTAGAGCTCTCTCAAGAATTATGCTTAACACGCGGGGACCTAACCAGCAACGACGTCTTCTTCTAATGAGCGTCATTAGGTCTGTCATCCTCTATGCTGCGCCAATATGGTCAAGAGCGATGGCAACGCCGAGCTACAGGAGGGACATTTGCGCGATCTACAGGCTGAGCACAATCAGAGTCAGCTGCGCTTTCAGGACTATCTCCGATGACGCGGCGCTTGTCATAGCCGGCATGGTGCCACTGGAGTACCTGGTCGCCGAAGCCGTGGAGCGGAATTCGCACGCGCCTGGGCGACACAACGCTATCGGGGCGAACAGCATTGCACGATGGCAAAGGAAGGAATAGCTCAGCTAAAGGAGCTCATCCTGGAGCTCGAGCCATGGGTTAACCGCAAACACGGCGAGGTTAACTTCTATTTTTCGCAGATCCTCTCGGGCCATGGATGCTTTCGGAGCTATTTGAAGCGCTTAGGTCACGAGGAAACTGATGAGTGCCCCTGGTGCGGCGAGGGCATGTGGAAGACGCCAACCACATCCTTTTCGTATGTGGACGGTTCCTGGAGGAGAGGCGTCGTCTGGAAGAGGCAGTGGGCCGCTCCATCAGAGCGGACAACATTGTCAACGCCATGCTGGAATCGGAGGAGGCTTGGGAACTAACAATCACCTTCGCGGCCACAGTGATGATGGAGCTCCGCAGAGTCGAGCGGATAAGAAGACGAGCTGTACCAGGCTAAGGTTGTGATGAATCACATCTTCTTACCCCAATCCTGACCCTAAGAAAACTGTTCCCGTAACCCCTTAAACAATAAAATAGAAAAGAAAAGAAGGCTAAAGAAAGAAGAAAATAATGCACTTATTTGGAGCAAGTCAGCACAGGGTAGCCTGCATAGCAACAGCAACAGACAAAACGAACGCGGACAGAATACGACTTTTTGAAACATAACGGCGCATCTCTCGCCCATTGACAAATTAAGAGTAAATGAGCAATGCGCACAGCCAAAGCGATTAAGAGCGAAAGCATCGTCTAAACAACGCTCTCTCACCGCATAGATGCAGCGACGCCGCCGCCGGCAAAAGCAGAGGCTTAAGAACAAAGAGCGCAGAGCGAGAGCGAAAGCATCGTCTAAACAACGCTCTCTCAGCGCATAGATGCAGCGACGCCGCCGCCGACTAAAAGCGAAAGCCTGGAATGTCGAAGAACAGAGAGCGCAGAACGAGATCAAGAGCAAAAAGCTTTGCTTAAACATAGCAAATATCGTTGCAATGCTCTCTCTCGGCGCATAGATGCAGCGCCGCCGCCGTCGGCAGAAGCGAAAGCTCTAGGCAGCCAGGCTTGACATTAATTGCCAAAATTTAATGAGATCACTTATCTTTACGGACAAGACCAAAATTAGAATATGGACAGTGACGCGGACAGGACTCGCCGGTAAGCCGACGGGAATTAGATTCTCGAGATATTTATTTTTTTTTTTTGTGTGCGCAGTTCTTTGTTTTGTTTTTATCATGTCACCAAGTGCCTTGTAGTGGGGAATATTAGTGAAACAGCTAATTTAAGTTTGTTTTTAAAAGAAGAAAATAATAATGAAATAAATGGAATAATATAATAATGAACGAAGTTGTGGATAGTTAGAGTGAATGATCAGTGGACTTTGGTAAAACGAGTCGTCGCGTTTGGGAGGCCGTGGTCGGCGGCGGTTGCAAAAGGACTTTGAGCGTTATACGCCAAAGGCTGGGATGCAAACCAGCCTGCCACTGCCTTCCCTGACTCGGTGACGCGTGTCTCACCGTAGCCCACCGGAACTGCACAATCGGGTTGCGAGCGTTATACGCCATAACCAGATTGCGCTGGCCTCCGGTTTGGGGTACGCGTTGAAAGGAGGAGTGACGTGTGTGTGTCGTTAAAGAAAGTGGCCAAATCGGATTCGGTGCAGCGGGATCGTGCCGAAGACCTCGAGCGTTATACGCCAGAGTCTGACGCGAGAGACCGGCCGCACCTAGTGATCTTCGCGTAGCCTAGCGGGAGTTGCGGCCACCGGCTCTGAGCGTTATACGCAAGGGCCGGATTGCCGCGGCCACCAGCCGGACTACGCATCAAGATGCGGGGAATTGGTTACTACTGTCGTGCACGAGGTTGGCCACCCAGGGGTTCGGTGCAGCGGACTCACGCAGAAGGCTCTGAGCGTTATACGCCGGAACCTGCTGCGGGAAGCCGCGTGCACCCAACCCTCACTGGAGCCTGGCGTGAGTTGTACAGCCCGGCTCTGAGCGCTATACGCCAGGGCCGGATTGGCAACGATGGTCAGGGTGGCCACCCTCGCGAGTAGTTGGGTTGCTATGTCGTCGATAGTGGGCGCTGCCACCGCTGGACTCGGAACAGCAGAGTCACGCCGAGGGCCTCCGAGCGCTATACGCCGGAATCCCAAGGCGAGAAACTGCTGCACACTGAGCGTCCAGCCACAGTTGGGCGGGTGCGGCCCGAACCAGCCCTGGGCGTTATACGCCAGGACTGGAGCGGGGCAGCAACCCGCGTGGCGGTGGACGAGACCGAGGTGGTGGCGCATAGTTTCGTGGGGAAGATTTTTCTTGTCAGGTTCTAGGTGGAAGACAGTGGAATCGCACTAAGGACTTCGAGCGTCATACGCCAGAGTCCGACGTGAGAAACACTGGCTTCCAAGGTACCGTACCGCTGCCCAGTGAGGGGGGTGGCACCGCTCAGCCTGGAGTGCTATACGCCCAGGCTGGGTTGTGACCGCCGCCGACTGGGCTGCGCGTCGGGAGGCTGAAAGAAACAGCAATTGGTCGGCGTCGGGAGTCCGGGCGCGGCGGGGACGCATGAAGGATTCTGAGCGTTATACGCCAGAATCTGGAGTGGGAAGCCGTCAGTGTCCGGTTCCCCTGGAGTGGACCACGTGTTTCACCGTCGCCCACGGCCTCGGACACACGACTCCGCGCCAAGTGTCATACACGGGCGCGGGATCGTGGAGAGATTCCGTGTGGCGGGATGGAATTGCGAGGACGGGCCATGGAGTCACGGGTGCCCGACGCGGCACACCAGCACAGAGTGGGTGCAATGCGACGCGGCGCGGAGCGTTATACGCTCGCGCCACGTCGAGGTGGCGACCCGCACAGGCATTCCCGGGGCAGGGCTACCGCCCATAGCCACCACACTTCTGAGCGTTATACGCTAGAGTGGGATGGTACTCGCCTCCGTTCTGGGTGACAATATCAAGTTGTCGGATTTACTTCTCTTATTAACCAATTCCAAGTCTTTCTCGCGCCCCAATCGCGGATAGTTTAGCCCTCGTGGCTCACTATCCGCTCTCATTCCGTGGTCTCAGCAAATTTTACAAATTTCTTGTAAGCGACTCTGGGGAAGACTGAGAGCTGTACCCCGGCCATAGAAATAACTTCCTTACAAGTGGCGCCCGAGCGAGATTGTTGAGTGAGGATTCTTTCTGGGATTAAAGCCCCGTTGGAAAGAACCCCATAAGGCACCAGAAAATTTTGGAATAAAAGAAACAGCCTAGAATCGAAAGAAAAAAAAAGAGAAAAATGACCGCTGAGACAGCAAAATGGCGACCATGAGACATTCAAAACTCATAAGACAGCACCAGAAAAAAAAATAGCACGTGACGGCACCGTTAGGGACAGACAGACGATGGACAGAGACGGAGAGAGAGAGAGAGAGAGAGAGACTGGACAGAATAGTCGAACCGAACTCACCACTCCTCGGCACCGAAGACACGAGGCCGATGACGCGTATAAAAGAAGCGAGCGCAACCTAACGAGGGTCACTCTTCTACCAGCCACCGACGCGCACACACCTCAGCGGAGGAATTCAACAAAAGAAAAACCTACCGACCTGCGACGTGTACACACTTCAGAGGAGGAATTCACCAAGGAGATTTAGCGCAGGACACCGACGGAATTATATTCAAGAATTCACCTTCGTGGGATATTCAAGTTTACTGGATTCATCGGCGTAAACGTATCATCGTGGGATATTCGAGTATTTACTGGATTCATCGGCGCAAAAGTATCATCGTGGGATATTCGAGTCTGTCTGGATTCATCGTCGCAAACGTATCATCGTGGGATATTCAAGTTTACTGGATTCATCGTCGCAAACGTATTTATTTATTTATTTATTTTCTTAAAGCTATTGACAAAAATGAGAGTCAATTTTAATTTAAAAAAGCCTATACAAAGTACACGATATAATTTCAATAGTAACACCAACCCGATGGGGGTATTTTATTTGCCAGTCCGGCCGGCTATGCCCACGTCTCACAGCCAAATATGGTCAGTGATACTATTGAAGCTATGAAAAGAAAGTGTTAGTAAGAAAACTTAAAAAAATAAAATATTAAAATGTAGGTTATTAAACAATATTTAGCATACTTAAAATAATTCTTAAAATAATAATAAAAAATAAAAAAATAATAATAATAAAAAAAATAAATAAAATAAAATAAATAAATAAATAAAAGGAGTTAAAAAAAAAAACCAATAATAAAAAAAAAAAAAAAAAAAGAATAAAATAAGAAGAGATAAAGTATAGAAAAAGAAAATGGCCGGTAATAAGAGAAGTTGCAAGAAAAGTTAATAAAAAGAATAAGAAATAATAAAAAGAAAAGAGTAATGGAAGAGCCAAAAATAGAGTATAAGAATAAAATTGAGAAATCACTAACACAACATTAGCAGCAAAAGCGTATGCCAATGCTTATGCCTGGGCATTGTGAGTGATTTCCCTAAGATAAGCTGATAGTACACTTTTTATTTTAGGAGGAGAGAGCTCTAAGGAAAAAACGTGATAATATTTATTTAAATTAACACAAAGAACATGAAACGCACTGTGCAAAGAATAATCCCTAGTGCACACAGGTAAATGAAGCGGACGATAGTGTCTAGTTGATCGGGACGGAACCAAAAAATTTAGACGACCCAACAAAGAGGACGAATCAATATCACCACTAATCAATTTATGCAGAAAAACAATTCCCTAAAATTGTTCTGCGATTGGTTAGCGATGGAAGATCAATTAGCTGGAGCCTACTATGATAAGACGGTAATCGTAAATTACTGTCCCATCTAAGGTCTCTTAAGGCAAAGAGAAGAAACTGTTTTTGGACCGATTCGATACGATCCTGATACAGTTTATGTTGCGGAGACCATACGACAGAACAATACTCTAGGATAGGACGCACAAGCGAAGTAAATAAGCGCTTGGTAATAAAAGGATCTTTAAATTCCTTAGACCAACGTTTAATAAAGCCAAGCACACTTTTGGCGTATGCCTCCACTACCAGCTTTAGTAGTAGACATAATCTTGTCATATTCACGCCCAGTAAGACCTGCACACTTAGTATGCATCATGTTATCACACAGCCAGCAACTTATAAATTGCGCTTGTGCAGAATCAACTGTTTGCCTGAAAGTGCAAGCTTTTTTGCAGCAACTCATATTGGCAATCGGGATAGATCACAAAATTACTGAATGTAAACAGAAATGTCACAACAAAGAGAGGTATAAATGTGTTGAGAGCGAGTCCAACAACAAACAGCCGTTACAGAGCGCAACGAAAATATATGTTTAGAGAGCGAATCAACAACAAAAACAGCCGTTACGGAGCAGATCAAAAGTCCTCAGCGAGAGAGTATACTTGCACACCACAAAAATCAAAGATTCAAGAGAGGCAAATACAACAACCGTAGATAGTGAGAGCAACTTATGCACACACTCACACAAACTTAGAAAGAGTGAACTGGGGAGAGCGCCAACAAATAGAAACACTAAAGCAAAAATGCAAATAATGAAACTAATGAACCGACACTGCACACAAAGCTTCACAAATTAAAAAAGCAAATTATTAAAAACGCAGTGAACAACGGATCAAACCTTGCACAGGATAATATAGATATTTGCTGTATACAACCGAACCGCAATTATGTGAAATTTAATAAAAATAATTAACTAAGAAAACAAGAATAATTGAAGAGCACAATAGTAAACACGTCTGTTAACTCTCACTGAGAACTCTCTTCGTGGGATACTCAATCTTTCTGGATTCATCGGCGTAAACTTATCATCGTGGGATATTCGAGTATTTACTGGATTCATCGGCGTAAACGTATCATCGTGGAGTATTCAAGGAGTTCACTGGGTGCATCGGCGTACAAATATCATCGTAG